CGGCCACAACCCCCTCCCTCCCCCTGCTGGCCACGCTGCTCTGGGGGCAGCCCATGGCACGACTGGCTTGCTGGACTGAGAGTGCACGGTGCTGGCTCACGTCCAGCTTTTCATCTACCAGTATCCCCAGTTCCTTTTCTGCAGGGCTGCTGTCTAGAACATCGTTCCCAGCCTGTACTGGTAACGAGGATTTCCCTGACTCAGGGGCAGGACGATGCACTTGACCTTGCTGAACCTCATGTGGCTCACACAGGCCCACCTCTGCAGCTTGTCCAGGTCCCTCTGGAGGACATCCCATCCCTCTGGCAAAGTTGACTGAGGTCAGCTTCTTGGCCTTATTGAAACTCAAGCAATTTGTCTTGGCCTATCGATCTAGATCCCTTTGCAGAGCCTCCCTACCCTCAGGCAGATTGACCCAACTTCCCATCACCTCCAAAGTTACAGAGGTAGCACTAGATCTCCTTGTCTGGGTCATTGAGAAAGAAATCTGATGTCGAAACCAACTCCCTACTGATATCAATGCCCACTGATGCTGCAGAGCAGGAGGCACTGGGAGCCCCAGGCTGAGCTGGATTCCGGGAATTCAGATCAAAGGCAGAAGATCGGATGGAGTCCTCCCTGGATGGTGGCCACTGAAGGAGCAGAAAAAGAGGAGGCCTAAATCCTCGTGCTCCCTCAGTTTTTATACTGAGTATGGTGTATATGGAATGGCATACTCTTGTTGGTCATCTGTCCCGGAGGTGCAACATTTTACTTTGTTATGACCCTTTTTACTTCCTTAGCACCCCCAGCGTGGCACACAAGAGCCAGCAGTGGCCTTGGTCACTACAGGAATAAGTATCAGCAAGAGCCTTTCTGTATCCCAGTGCCAGACAGTGACTGTGAACACCAGGGGTTATCACTGCTGGTAGCACACACTGTCTGCAAAAACCTGCTGCTGACTTCAGAAAGTGCAGCCCTCTTAGAAGAGACCGAGCTGAGAAAAAAAATCTGTTGATGGAAGAGAATTGGTTCCGTTTAGCTCAAACCAGGACACTGAGAAAGAGAAGAACAGCAGAAACTGCAGAAGAGGGTAATCCAGAATATAGATTCTCACAGGACTGAAGGAAAATTAATGAGATTTTAATAATACAACAACCTATGGGACCAAATCTGTCAACCCTTCTATTACAAATTCCACACTGGGCAAAGCTTTTACAGGTGATTTAAGTACTGCATTTTTCAGCATACCAATCGAAGAGGAAAGCCAGCTGTCATTTGCTTTCGCTTGGGAAGGGAAACAAACTTGGACAAGATTACCACAGGGCTTTGCAGGATCACCTGCTGTATTCTCATGAATACTGAAAACAGATTTGGAAGATACACAACTGCCTGGACTTTCAGTGCTGGTGCAGGATGTGAATGATTTGCTGCTAGAGAGCAATTAAAACAATAAATGTCTGATGGCACGGTATACTTGCATTCAAGTATTCAAGGCATTGGGCGTCTTACACCAGTTTATATACTCTTTGCCACCCCCAATCGTCAGGGAAAGCAGAGGGAATGAATAGGATAGTTAAAAAAGTGTGCATGCACACAGGGTTAAAAAAGCCAGAGGCTCTAAATTTAGTTGTATGGGACATAAAAAAATGCACTCAGGCATCCTATGGGAGTATCTCCAGCAGAAATATTATTTGGCAGTACCTGGAACTTACATCCTGGCAAAGACCAGCCTGTTAGACGGGGATGAACGTGTAACACGGGACGTATTCTATGTGCATTAACCTTTTGAAGCTTGTAGGCAACAAGCTTATTGGTATCAGGGGGTGCTGCTTGAAATAAAGGTACATGACATTCAGCCTGGGGATCAAGCATGGTTAAAAAATGATCAGAGAAAAATCAAATTTGAACCAAAACGAGAAGGTCCTGATGCTGTGTTATTGTGTACTTCCCATATATCCCACCGTTAAATGAAAAATCCCTGCGCTGTATCCAGTAGAACACAGAGTATGGGCCCATAGGAAAGGGGACAAATGATAAACAATCGACGTAAGTGCCCGTGTTCTGTGAGAACAGCAGGGATTCATAAGTAAGAGTGATGCAATCAAAGCCCAGGACATTTGCCTTGATGGTGACCAGAATATTTCTCGTTTTTAAACATATCCAAATGAAGCCCCTGAAAAAGTACTTGTATATCTTGGGAATGGACGTGTTTGTGTGAGGATTCTTTGTGATTTTATATTCATAGAGATTGTTACTGTAGATATAAATAACCACTCACACTACCATGTTTGTATTTTTACTAACACAGTAGGCTGCAATTTCAATTATTCAGCTATTTTCTAGGAGTTACTACAGTAAAATTACACCCTGGTTAAGGATTTGTTACCTACCTCCGTTGGGATCAGTCTTACACTAGTAAGAAACCTGTTACAACATGCTGATCTAGCCAAACTGCTGAAGAATATCTGAAAGATGGGACAGAAAACTCTGAATGCTGTACATCGTGATACAGGAGAAATACGTCATATTTTGGAGACAGTAAAGAAAGATGGGGAATCCCCTTGGAGACGCTATAATGAAGCGGATAACGGGAAAATATTCTTGTTAGTTCTTTGATGCCGATAAATCAAAGTGGTGTTAAGATCCTTGGTGTCGACTCACCTTAGAATCAGAGAAACTGAGTCACTGTTCTGAAGGCTCTGGGTGTGACACCGCTACCTCACAGAAAATTACGTGGCCAAAGCCAAACTGGTTGGTGGGAGTAGCCCAGTGTGGCCACTCCTGCTTGGCGTTTGCTCACAAATTGTCCACGTTGAGGGGAGCACACCCAGAGAGGATGGGGGGAGGTGGCATGGAGAGCAGTTAGGAGGAGGATTTAATGAGAAGGTGGGATGGACTGTGGTGCTCAGGCACGGGGCTTGGCTGGAGAAGTGTGTTGAGAAACACCTTGCACTTGGTCAGCTCCTTTCTCCCTGTCTAAGCAACCAGATCTCCTTGAAGATGTAAAATGGAATGGAATGGAATGGAATGGAATGGAATGGAAACTTTTCAGCTGGAAGGGACATCTTCCATGTTAAGTCAGAGCACAAAGGAGAGGTGATGCCCATCAGCACCAACTGTTCCAGGCATCTCTCGACTGCCGCACTTCAATTTAGATTGTCTTTATAAGATTATTCATTTTGTTGTTATCAGGTAGTT